GATGAAAGGATGTTTCTTGAACTTACACATGCTAAATCATACTCTTGTTTACATTTTGCATAAAACGACTATTTAACAGCTTAATTTTCATAAAAGGTTCCAATGCATTAGAATGAAATACTTGATATGAATATTATCATCACTTTATGGAGTTAAAGGTGAAATATATAAAAATGAATACCAAGCCTAGCAAGGGAGAAGTAGTTAAGCTTCCGACATTTAATGACCGAAATATGGAAAAATTTAGGTTACTGTCCTTGACATTAAGATTGGTTATTATGATTAAAACAGCCATGACATAGCAGAATAAAAAAGTCGCCCTTCTGAATTTAAAGAAAAACGTCTAAAATGCGTTGTATTATTATCAGTCTAATAACCCTCATTTTCTTATTGTTATTATTGGATTCGCATGTTTCGGTTTCTAATTATTAATCTCGGTTCAGTTTAGTCGAAATCATATAGATGTTTGATATTTTAAATGATTAAGTTTATAGTATTTAAATTCTGTACAAGTGTCAATAACTAGAAAAATACGACTTTTTTCGTGTTAGCTGTACATCTTCAATGAAATGTTTTTCTGCGACGCTAGATATTACATTTACATTCACGAGAGTAAAAGTGTTTCTTTATTTTTAAAAAAAAAATTAAGAATTAGGGGTTTTGTGTGATTTTATTTTTTGGAGGAAATATGCATGTAATTTTATTTTAAGTGTAATTGGAAACAGTGCTACTTTATGCATGATTTTATTTCTTTTTTTTTTTCAATTTAAATGATGATTTCAAAAAGTATTGAAAATTCAATGCGGTCATGTTCTCCAAACAAAATTATGACGCACTGTGAACGTGCAATGGCCTAAATATATTGTACCCAACAAACACTATATTTATAATGATTTGTAACTTCTCAGTACAAGTTATTATACAAAACTCAATCCTTCGAAATGTGCCTGACATCTGTGTACATGTACATGTTATGACTTCGAAAAAATGACTTCGAGTAATATATGGCCTGAACTAGCAATATTATTTGATAACTTAATAGCTATTGCTGTAATCTATTCCTAAGTTTGGATTTTGTGCAAAGTCGGATCCCTAATACTTTGAGCAAATTAAATTTCAGACTAGACTTATTTATTATAAATGAAGCAAAATGCAACTCAAAAACACATCAGCAAGTTCACAGTGGAAGACATATAGAAATACATTAACCTGTTGCTTATATGACATTTTATAGAATATGTGTAAAATGCATAATTTTGTAAGGTCGCCAGCCCGGGGCCAGATTTGTTACGTTTGATTCAGATGAAAACTTCTAGATAAGGCTTAACCTTTACCTACAGTGGAAGCGCTTCTTGTTTACATTAAGGTGTTTCTTCACTTGTGAGATCGAAGGTTCTGACTCAGACAATTCTTTACAAAAAGAGTCTGGACTTCTGGGAATCAATGGATATATGAATACTTGTTTGATCTATGATGATTTCTTTTTGCTTGATCACGAAAAAGTAAACATACAGGTGAGAAATTAAGATTAATTAGCTGAAGCCTCAATCAACCAGGGCGTATAGATTGAACTCTCCTAAAACTTAGTTTTATATGTTTTTATATTCCTTGGCAGACTGTTGTGTTGATCTTTTCAAACTTTTATGGTTTTAGATTCTATATCTCTTTCAATATATTTTGTTGCATCAATAATATAGTAATGTATATTGTTTAAATGCATTCAAAAACTCCAAAGAAGCAAAATAATTACATAACATTTCACCGCTTTATCCAACCACTTCTCATGATTAATTAAAGACTAGGTTTTTTGACATCATAGATAACTGTTTCTTCAGAAAAAATGGAATTTGGAAATTTACATAATTATATTGAGATTTTCAATACTTTGTTAAAAACAGTTTTGATCCTACACGTAAATACTTTTAGGTCGAATATTCATATTAAAAAGATGCTGGAGTCCCTCATTGACAATGTTTATGTAGTCTTTTGAGACCAGGCCCCAAGACCATAAACTCAGAACAGACTTAAGTCAAAAATCTGATTTTTAATAAATTAAATTTCATTTAACGTATTAGCTTAAAAAATTGAAATTGTGCATAACACTTCAATTCAAACATATGATGAAAATTTTATTTTATAATCTAAATTATTTTGAAAGTTATATCGATTTTGAACTTTGACTTAAGTCTGTTCTCTGTTTATGGTCTTGGGGCCTGATCTTCTAACAATCTGTTGGAATCTCGATGGGCACTAAATGTGTTTCTTTATTAGCCGACCCTTTTTTTTTTCTTATATATTCTATAAAGCGGAATTTATTCAAGACGTTCTACATGAGAAGCAGGAAACCGTTGTTGTGGCCTTCAATTTGATATTCTGCTTATATCGACGACGTTTTGATTCTTAACGAAAATTATTTGCAATTTTTGTCGATTCGATATACCTCAGTGAACAAAGAAAAAAAGAATTTCAAAAGAAAACTAAAAGACACCACAGAGTCTGCCACATGTGTTTTATACTTGAATGTTTTACTTCCCCTTTTTGTACAGTAATATTTCACTATCACCTGTATATGGTGTTTATGTCTCCTTCTTGATTTGATACTCAAGATCATGTACGATTATTTTTTTCCAACGAGGCAGACTAATAAAAATTGGTTGACGTTATAGAGTTTTCAACAGTCTCTTTTAAAGCCTACATTCTGCAAATTCCGTTGTGGTTATATTGACTGTTTGCAATTATACATCCTATCGTTGGGTCGTATTTCAACTGACATTTTCTTGCCACTTGTTAGGCCCCTGCTCTAATATTTATATTGATTATGAATATCTCCGTCTACATGATTAATACAGAGGGCTTACGGAGGGTGTGACAGGTCAACAAGGGATGTTTACGCCTTCTAGGCACCGGATCCCTTATCTGGTGTTTCCAGAGGTCCTCGTTTTTACAATGTTCACGATTCATAATCATACGCGTACAGGTTTTAAGAGATCGATCACCTTTAAATGTTTTGAGCAGGCGTTTTTATTGTAGATTTTTTTTTCTTGAGGATATAATATTTAGGCATATTAGCTGTTTAGAATTAATTGTAATATTATAGGTCAAAAAGTGAAAGAGAACTTATTGACCTTTTTGACTCTAATTATAACATTAGGGGGCAGAATACAAAGGTTATTTTAATAGTGTAAAAAAAAAAATAAAGAACAAAATCTAAGATAATGATGAGTGTTTTAATAATGGTTCTGATCACAACTTAAAGAGAATCTTCAGACCTCAACCTTATACTTACGACAGAGATGCTAGATGTCAAGTTAAAATGATTTACTAATTTATTGTCAAGAGGTCAACAATGCTTTACACAAAATTCAAGAATATTACTGATACAAAGTTTTCAGAAGAAGCACATTGATTTAAGATAAAATGTTAGATATCAAGTTCACGCAACAAAGGCGTAGCATGAGCAATTTTAAGAGAAAGAAAGAGAGACTTTTATTGTCAAAGGCAGCGATGATCTTCTGAACTCTTCAAATATACACTTCAAAAATTCCGTCGAACCTGTACATTTTGTTAATCGGATTAATGGCAGATTGTTGGATCATATTTTACATCTTTATGAAAATCTTTGTTTTTCTTCTATTGTATAATAGGGTTGTGTATTGATTTGAAATATTCAAAGCCAGTACGATCTAAATGAAGATTGATAAATAATTTCTTCACCTTTTATTTCTAAGAATCATTATTAACTATCTAAAGTGACAATTTCCATTTATCTTACACTGTTATAAACAGATCGTGTTCATAAAATTCTGCACAATGTAAATACTGACTTCGATTTTGTGTTCTAGACACTTAAATTTATGGCTAGAATGGTACAAAAATACAAGGTAAGCTTTATAAATATTTAATAGGATTTAGAAATGAGAAACAAATCATTCACAATGTAGCATTTACTAGAAAGAAGTATTCATTGTTTTATCGTTCAATGTTTTATTAAAATATAATTAAAGGTTTTCCTTAAATTATAAAATAAATTAACCACTTCTTCTACTCGGGAAAATAAATATACAATGCAGGGAACTAATTTAATTTGTTACATAAATCAGGATCACATAAGCAAAATAAGCATCAGCATTCAGATAGCATCAGGATCGGCATTTAAAAAACAGCATTACCAGGATCAGCATCAGTAAGCAAAGGATATAACTAGCATTGACCTACTTAAAATCAGCATTGACCTACTAGCATCAGAAAATCAGTTTTTTAAGTAAAAATTGAGAAAAGAGAGAGAAAAACGCTTAAAATATTTAAAATAATAATATATAATAATATTTAATGATATAAAATAATATAAGGCATTTTATTGCTCTAAACGGCGATGCTAATATTAAATCATCTACTTCCGGTAGCAGCATGCTACTTCCGGTAGCATTGACCAACTTATAAATCAGGAGAGGTAGCATCAAGATAAGGGAAACTAGCATTAAATCAGCATGCAAGCAAAGGAAGCATTCAAATCAGCATCGATGCTGTAATAAAATTAGTTCACTGCACTGTTTTTGTGTATCTACTTGGAAACTATTTACAAATAGTACAAAGTAATAAGAACTGATACTTGGGCACTTTACACATCCTGTGTTTCCAGGGTTCCGTATTTGTCCCTGTTCAATATTCCTTTTGATTACACGATTTGGGGAATTGATAACTGATCATTATCTTTACCTATTTATATAGATTACGAGATTACCAGAAGCCGTTTCATTGTTTAATAGGACTAAATCCTAGACATTGAATAGTTTATAAGTTTGGACGAATATAAAAGACTGTTGCACAAAATTAAAGCTATCAAAGAGGTAACAAACAAAACCAACAAGAAACTGAACACTATATTTCAAAAACATAGAATAGACTAAAATGATGTTTCGGAATGGTAAATTATGATTTTTATGGTTTCGAGTGAAAATCAATTTTACCACATTATATTATTTTTGTTTCAGAAGTTAATCTGAGCAGATTCTTTTCTGAAGATGATGAATTCAACAGTTGTGCCATTTTCTGCGACTGCAACATCAGAGGTGAGCGCCACAGAAACCAAAAGTCAAACGTCAGGAGACATTATAAATGCTGTTTATCCACCAATTCTCATATTTGTTGGAGTCACGTGTAATGTACTCATCATATTGGTCATGCGCACAAAACAGTTTTGTAGACAATCAACGTCTGTCTTCATGACAACCAGCGCTGTTAATGACGCTCTAAGTCTAGTGATATCCATGACAACACACTGGCTTTACGTTAGTTTTGAAGGGATTTATTATCGAAATGATGTGAAAGGCATCTGTAAATTCCTAGACTTTTACGGGTGGGGGAACTGTGACTTCGGTATTTTGATCACAAGTATGATGACCGTAGACCGGGCTTTAGCAATGACGTTTCCCTTAAGGTTCAAAACGAAATCAATCAAGCGAGCAAGAGTTGTGGTTCTTGTCACAGTCCTGATTGTTGTCGCCAAGGAATTTCATTTCCTCATTGGATCCAATATGGTTCCGGAATCGCGGAAAGAAAGGCTCTGTGATGTATTTCCAGGAACTGAGTCATACAAATTTTTCTGGAAGCAGGTTTGGCCTTGGTTACATCTTGTATATCTTTCTGTGTGTTTCATCATCATCATGGGGAGTAACTCTGTTCTCCTACTTCAGATACTCAAATCATCTAATTTCCAGAAAATCTTCAAGAAAACTAGCAAAAATTCCAAAGTGACTGAACAAACCAAATTCAATTACAGTACTCGGATGAGAAAACAATTACATACCATAGCACCTATGTTGATTGGAGAGTCCTTAGTACTGTTATTGTTAACGTTTCCTTTCTCCGTCCAATTATCCATATCAGGATACGACCCAGAGTTTTACAGTACACCAGATATGGGACTGCTATTCTCTGTGACTTTTTACATGCTTTACACCAATAAATGTGTTACATTCTTTGTTTACCTTGTGACTGGTGGTAAATTTAGAAAATCACTGAAACAGATTTTCAGAAGATGGTTCAAAGGAAAGAAGAGCGTGAGGAAAAATCAATTCAATAATTTTTCTAAGTGGTATTCAATTAAAGGAGATTTACAGACAATGAAGCCTATCTGTAGGAGCCCGAGCAGCGAGGTCTGGAACACAGGAAGCTCATTATCATCGGACATTCAGACAGAGACCAGTTTTGTTGTGTCTACACATCTGTAAACGACAAACATTTAGAATGTTTGAACAAACTATGTTAACTTCATTCATTGACTCTGTTTTTCTTTTTATTTAAATTTTGTAAAATGCAATATGTTATTTGTAAAATACTTTTTCCACGTACATGTGTTATTGATTGAAAATCTGAATTTCTAGTCAAGAGGTAAAAAACGTGAAGATAATAATGCCTTGGAATACTTTTTTTTTAAATTTCATATTGATAAAAGAAGAGCGCACGGATACCTGAAGGGATAAGTATCATATGTAGTGATTGCTTTTTTCTTATTCAATATATGGGGCTCACAGCGGGTGTGACCGGTCTACAGGGGATGCTTACTCCTCCAAGGCATCTGGTCCCATCTCTGGAATTTCCAGGGGTCCCTGTTTATGCCGTATTCACATATTTGTATTGTTTCTAGTTTTTATGAGATCGATCACTGTTCGTTATCTTCACTCTTTTTAAATATAAAAAAAAATATTGAGTGCTTATTTTCAAAGCTTCCATTTGCAAAACTTTGCTGGGAAACGTACCGCTTAGTCTAACAAAATTTGTTTTGCATCAATTTAAATAATTTATATGTAATGACTCGGCTAAACGGTCACCAATTATGCAGCCGGAGTTGTTCAAACCGTAATATCCTTGGCAGGGTTGTTTAGATATGCTTAAATCGTCATTACAGAAAACATTTTAATCAGACAATGAAATCGTCTGAAAAGAATTTGACTTTTGGAAATACATCTGTATTTAAGGAATGAATATACTGTATAGCCTTGGTTGGGAAAGTTAAGGCTTTATAAACCGCGAAGAGGTTTATGAAAAAAAAAACGTAAATTGTTCCAATCCAGGTCATTCTTTGGTAGGTAATAAATTTATTCCTTATAAATTTATTTTCTTTCATAAAAATTAAGGGTTACAAATAATACAATTTCATTTCAAAAATGTTTCAAGTTGTAAAAATTGTAATATATGAAGACAACAGTAAGCAAGCTCAAAAGTGTGCTACTTGTCATGATCGGGCAAACGGAAATTCAGTATGAAAATAATAGCCTAAAAATTTGCATGAAAAATGTCGTCAACATTGGCCTAACTGAAAGATTGAATTTTCTGACAAGGTAATTAGATCAACCGTAAAATAAGCTAAATTTTGACTTTTAACGAGACTGTTGATTTTGTTGTTTTATCAACTTTTTTTTCAATGGCTTGCCTCGTTTTAGAAGTTGTCCATGCATACAGCATGCCCGTGTGTATCTAATCAACTGAGAGACATAGACTCCATATGCAGGTGATAATAGTATATTGCTACATTAAGGGGGGGGTTGCCGATAGAAAAGTTTCATCAAGTTTATCTTAAAGTTTTGCTGTTAGGTTAAGACTAACGTGTTTCTAGTAAAGTATCCAAATATGAAACAGATGCGTCAGACTCTATGGTATCTTTTATGTCGAGTTCAAAGGGATATGTCGAATCAAAGAGGGAATGAAAACAACATTGTTAATTGATGACATGTCGTCTAATGTTGAATTGAAAGTTGCAGCAAGAGACTTCTTTCCATGCAGAAGTTTTTGAATAAAATCTGCTTCATATGAAAATAAAATAAATCTGTTAATAACGGGGCGCAATTAGTACCCTTGGGATTTCCAACAGACTGTTGGAAGACTTGATCTCCAAAACCACATCGATTTGTCAATCAGAAACTCAAGCAACTTTTTAATATCATCTTCGGAGTACTTGTGTGTACAATCAGTGTGTTTTAAACAAAATAATCTTGCAAACGACCAATGACAAGATAAGTATTTTTACAAGTACCATTTTAATTGAAAAAGCAGCTGTCAATGATGTCAAAAAAGCTTGGACTTTATCTTGGGGACTGTTGTACAAAGTGTTGAAAAGGCGAATGTTTTATTGTTGGTAAAATTTTGTGATTTTCCTAAAAATCCACCTCTGATTTACAAAATTTCTCGAATATATTGTTGTACAGTACTCCTGACGTTCTTCTTCACTGTAAGCAGATTTTTACGTTTTTGATGAAGTATGCGCAGAATTTTTAGCGAGCATTCAATTTTGGCATTATTCGCGAGGGTGAAATTGAATATCGCTAACAATTCGTTCCAAATTCATGGTAATAGATATCTATCTCCACAACTTAAAAGCGCTAAAATTGCTATTCGCTAAAATATATTTACAAAATTTTAATGATAATTCACTACATTCGCGTCCTGATAAAAATTCCACATATACGTTAGTATGATAACAATTATTTCACCATATCCAGAATGATAAGTACATGTATAATTCGTCACTTCAATTTTCCGGAGAAGTGCATCAGAGCCAGTGACAATCATATTGTACAGAAAACTCATGATGTGCAGAACTCATGTGTCTTCTCTCTGGCATAGATGTCAATTTCAAAAACTATAAATTTCCTCAGAAATGCAAAATAGGAGATATCAACAATGAAATATCTGAGTAAATCAAAGGCAATAATTACATTTACCTGTACTACATTTTCAACTGTGAAATACTGTAATTTATCCATTTAATAAAAGTGATATTTTTTTTCATTTTGAAAATATCAAAATTGCGTCAAACCCGATTTTTTTTCTCTTCAAGAATAGTGTAATAAAAAAAATACTGTCTTTTATTAGCGAAAGTAAATAAATAATCCTGACAGTCTAAAACCGCCCAAGTTTTCTCCAAATAGATATTAATATCCATGTTTACCATTTTCGATCTCACATTCGCCTAGTTATGACGTCTCAGAACCGCTTAACTTTGATATCACACCCTATGACACTGTGTTACACAGTGTAAAAGACAGAGGCAAAAGGAAAATCAAAGAAAATATGATAAACCGAAAATTTATTATTTTATAGGTGGAGATGGACCTCTTTCACTCGTGCGACAGGATTCGACCTAACGACAGACTGTATTTGCAAAAAAAGTCATTGTATCGACTATAGAATTTGTGAAATGTTTGCTTCAATTGAGATTGCAGATACCCTAGTATCATCAACTGGTTCGGCAGTAGCCCTCCTAGTCTTAGAAATTGTTCTTGCTCCTTAGTTGGCTGATATCTTTTTGGAATTTATGTGAAGGAATATTTATTCAAAAAAATTCAACATAAAAGCTCTTGCTGAGTTGCCTTCAATTTCACATTCAGCTATATCAACGATGTTTCATCAATTCACATGCATTTGAAGATAACGATAAGTTATCATGCTAAATAGTACAATGAACGGTACAAATTGAGAGTAGAGCAAACACGAACTTCCGAAATGAAAAGGGTGAGAATGAAAAAAAAAATATCTACAAACAATACAAATCTGTGAACAGCTAGGGCACAAAACAAGGACCCCCAAAAATTCAAGAGGTGGGTTAGGTGCCTTTGAGGAGTAAGCATATCTTGTTGACCTGCCCCCCCCCTCCCCCCCCCCCCCATCTTGAGCCCTATATTTTGATCAGGTAGACGGAGCATTCCGTAATCAAATAAAGTATAGAAACAAAGGCCTAACAATTTGTATAAAACACGTCAGCCAAAATACAACCCAATGATAGCTTATATTTGTTACATGTAACAAGGTCCTTATATCGACCATAGAATTTACGAAAAACTGACTTTAAACTAGGTGGTTAAATTCATGTAACATTGTATCATCAACTTATACGTCAGTAGCATGCCTCGTTTTAAAAAATTGATCATTCTCATAGCATGCTTTTGAGTATCGAGTAAGTTGGGAGATGTAAACACCATATACAGGTGATAGAAGAATATTACGACATAAAAAGGAAAGTTCGTCGTCAACTACAATTTAGCTGTTAGCTGGCCCTTATTGTCTATATTCTGCGAAACATCCTAATTTGAAACAGATGTGGCAGACTCTGTGGTGTCTCTTTTTCAAGTTCACTATAATTTTCCGAGTCGACCTATGAATAGAATCACAAGATACGAAAATTTCCGATCGCGTTCCATTTTCATTTATTTTTTTTAAAAAAGCAGTTGTATTTGATACCAAAAATCCAAGTTTTAATTTATCGTGAGGAATAGTTGGATAAATTGTAGGAAAGTGATCTTGAATTTTCTAGGTTCTTTGTTGTTTTTGAGAATCCACAATAGTACTTCTGAAGTTTCTCCTTAACAGCAGGTAATATTTTTGTAAGGAGTAAAGAGAGGGGTGCTGTAGAGCATTTGCTGGAACCGGCCATATGTATTTTTGTTGGTAAGGATTTTTATGAAATTTAGGAATCCAGTATACGTAAGGTAGTTCGAACTCACCTTGGTTGACTGGAATGTTAAAAGTATTAAAGACTGAAATGTGATTTTGAAGAATTTCATTCATAAAAAAAACAGCAGAGGTGGGATCGAATGCCATGAAAGCATTCCATTTTGACTGGTTAAGCTTGCCATAAGTCCTTTATATTGATCGGGTAAACGGAGAATTCCGTGAACAATGCAGCATGAAATCAATTGCCTAATCATTTGTATGAAATATGTCCAGTCATCATTCGATGTAACGACAGTTTTTTTTTCCGCTAACAGGGTTGACGGCATTGTATTCATCATAGAAGTTGCGAAATGTTGCCTTTAAACAGTATTGTCTTTACCTTTGTAACATCAACTTATTTGTTATTTCAGCCTGTCTTCATTTAAAAAGTGTTCTTATACAAAACATGCTCTTGTCTATTAACCTTACTGGAATACATAAACACCATATGCAGACAATAATAATTTACCGATATTGCTACATAAAATGAGAGTTGACTGTAAAGAGATTGAATTCACAGCGTTTATCTAGCTGTTAGTTTGCAATCATTGTCTTAATTTCTCTAGTAAAATAACCAATTTGAGAAGGATGTATCAGATATGTATTGTCTTTTATTTCGAGCTCAGTAATCAGTAAGATGTATTAATTCAACGTATTGAATGAAAATGAATATTGTTAATAAAATAATGAAAGAAAAAGTGAGCAAGCTCACATACCCCACGCTCACCCAAAACTCAACAATGCAACACGTTTTAAATACACAGTATAATAATTCAAAAAGGGGCATTACTTGCAAAAAATCATCACATCAAAACTTCTTGCATATAAGGACATTCAAATCTTTGTATGTTACAAATTTAATTGGGCTGAAGTTTCTAGATAAATAATGGAATCAAAATTTCTTGGTAATATACAAATCTATACATTATGTCTGAAATACCTACAAAGTTTCAGGAAATTCAGTGCAGGAGTTATGCTGACAAACTGTTATTTAAATTCCTCAGTGATTTCGATTTGTTATGAGTGTAAGTCCATGTCCAACACATGACAATTTACACATTTAAATAATTGATGGAAACAAAATTATGATGTAGTCATATGAATTTGTTTATATACTGTACTTATGAAATTATTTAAGGCAAAGCACCAATTTGAAGGGGGGTGAGGGGTGGGGGTGGGGGTGAGAACTATCCAAGATTGTGTGTGTGTGTGTGTGTGTGTGTGTGTTAAATCATTAATATTTTGATATCAAAACCAATAGGGGTCTTTTAAGGTCATAAAATATTTCACATAAAATTTCATTACAAAAGCTGATTCCAGTGGATTTCCTTATTACCTCACTGGAAAGTTTCTTCAATAATAGGCAAAACTCTTAAGGCAAAAATAATGCAATAGGAATTTCCTTGTAATATGCATATCTGCAAAGTTTAACCAAATTCTGTGCAGCGGTTTAAGAGGAGTTGCACTAACAAACTGTTCGTATCTATATTCAAGATATGGCCAAAAATCTAAGTTGAAAAGTGCCGAAATCCCCAGAAAAATAAAGGAATCGGAATTTCCTGGTAATATGCACATCTACACACTGTGTACTAAATATCTGCAAAGTTTGACCAAATTCTGTACAGCGGTTTAAGAGGAGTTGCGCTGACAAACTGTTCATCTCTATATTCAAGATATGGCCAAAAATCTAAGTTGAAAAGTGCAGAAATTCCCAGAAAAATGATGGAATCGGAATTTCCTGGTAATTTGCAATTCTACACATTGTGTCCTAAATATCTGCAAAGTTTGACAAAATTCTGTGCAGCGGTTTATGAGGAGTTGCGCTGACAAACTGTTCATCTCTATATTCAAGATATGGCCAAAAATCTAAGTCGGAAAGTGCCGAAATTCCCATAAAAAATAAAGGAATCGGAATTTCCTGGTAACATGCACATCTACACATTGTGTCCTAAATATCTGCAAAGTTTGACAAAATTCTGTGCAGCGGTTTATGAGGAGTTGCGCTGACAACTGTTCATCTCTGTATTCAACATATGACCAAAAATCTAAGTTGAAAAGTGCCAAAATTCCCATAAAAAATAAAGGAATCGGAATTCCCTGGTAATATGCTCATCTACACATTGTGTCCTAAATATCTGCAGAGTTTGATGAAATTCTGTGCAGCAGTTTATGAGGAGTTGCGCTGACAAAAAAACAGGACTGACGGACTGACTGACTGACACACTGACTGACGGACGGGTCAAAAACATTATACCCCCCTCAACTTGTTGCGTGGGGTATAATTATTGATAAAACGTCGTCGATGTGTCTTAATGTAGAATTGATGGCCACAGCATGAGACTTCTCCCCTTCATGTAGATTTTTTTTAAAAATAAATTCTACTTCATATTAGTGCAAAAATTAGTCTGCTAATAAAGGGGGACAATTAGTATCCATGGAAATTCCAACAGATTAAATTGTCCCTAGAGACAACATAGATATTGTCAATGAGGAGCTTGATCTCTTTTTTTCAGTATTAATTTTCGTTCGTATGTCTCCACGTTATATCCCCATGAACTAAAAATAAAGCACAGAGTCGATCAAATCTTTTTTTAACATCGATTGCTTTATCCCGTATAGACGTTAAAGGCAAGCAAACTGCAAGCTACCGATAAAATATATGATTGCAGAGAATGAAATTAAGCTTTTTATCGCGTCATCATCTCTTTTTTATGTAGTAATATCCCGCAATTACCTACATATGGTGTTATGTCTGAAAACGATCAATTTTTAAATCGATGCAGGCTACTGACAAATAGGATGCCATTACAGGTCTTTCAACATTCTCGTTTAATTCTATGGTTATTACGATCTCGTTTGTAAATTATATTACATATCCTTAGGCGTAATTTGGCTGGCATATTTGATACTATTATCAACCTATTCATTTACCTTTATACTAATTTTGATTATGGGTTACCAGTACCGCTTACATAGAGTGTGACAGGTAGATAGGGAATACTTACTCCTCCAAGGCACCTGATCCCTATTTCTGATGTTTCCAGGGCTCTGAATGTCTCCCTGTTCATGATTTGTATTGCCTATATGACTTGCGAGATAGATCACTGTTCTTTTTGGATATAAATGATGTGTCTTTGTCTTTCAACTTATAAGAGATAGAAAATCGTATATATATTAATTTTGTTAGTGTCCCATATTTTTCGAAAATCATAAACAAAAATGATAATTTCATTTTATAAGCATTATTTAAGCTGAATAATGGTATGGACAATAGCTAATATCCCTCTATCATAGTTACATTGAAAATCTTAATGATTTGTCTTTCTTAAAGAAAGAAAAATATCAACTATAGTTTTTCATTATCTTTTATTCAATCCAAAATTTCATGTTTCATACTTATGAAATACTGAGAAATATGTAATTTTTTGGGGATTATGGAGTGTATATTGATATAAATTTGTTAAGGTCAAATAGATATAAAAAAATAATTTTTCTAGCTACTCTCTGTGGATTTAAGTATGTTGCCAACTTGAAACCAAAAATGTATATTTAACAATATGAAATATTCAGTAGGACAGTTAGTTTATGTAAGAGGTCACAAAAATTGATACAAAGCTATTTCAAGTTTTCTAGATTCCTCTTATGTTGAAATTCTTCATGTAAAACATATTCATGCTCAGAAAGAACATTCTCTTGCTATCTAATCAACTGTGAGACATAAACCTGACATGCAGGTGTTTCCAGAGAAGGGAAATTATCACTATTACATGTGTAGCATTTGGTGGACATTCCAAACTTTGGTGGACTCAGGCCACTGGTGTCAAACCCTCTCATTACAGTAAGTTTTTGGCTACAAATATGTGCTTGTGTTACAAATACACTATTCCTCAAAAACAAATTTGATGATTATTTCAATATGAAATATTTATTTTCATTTTTTCAAATTACCTTAAATACAAAAATGTGAACAATAAATACAAATAATGTTAACAATAAATTCAATAAAAGGGATATTTAATTTAAAATAAACCATAAGAAAAAGCATGTACATAAATATAACCGCAGGTAATTTGTACTATAGCCCTCAAGGATGGTTTAATAATTATGAAGTACATAATGGATAAAATTGTAATAATTAATAAAACAAAATACTGACAATGGTACATCTATTGAACATTCAATTTATCAACTCTTCTTCTGATGGTTGCAAACATCTGATTAAAATATTGATCTAAAAAGTAATCCTTACATTTTAAAACAAAATTCAATAGCATGATTGGTAAAAGTCACCTTCAAATTCAAACTTCCCTACTTTTCATCACAGTTATTCTGAATTGCAAAATTTTTATCACATTTTTCATCTGTGACACATGTATTCACAAATCCTTTCACACATGCATATCAAACTTGTATACACAACATTACACATGAGTCCATTCCAATCACACATTAGTTGTTCACTCCACGACCGTTCACTCTATGATTTGTCTCCAAATATACCGGTGATGGATGATGTTTCAGGCAATGCTTTCTGAGTGTCTAAGATTTTATCAATGAGAGCGAATTGTTGACTACGTTCCTCCACCTCTTCTAAAGGAGTCCATGACATATCATGTTCTAATTTGTAGGCTCCACAGAATACATGTGGACAAGATGCACCCCATTCCTGAAATATGAATTATAGAGTGCAAAGGCAAATGAAGAATATCTAGTGAAATACGGATTATTCTTGATGGAGATAACTCTTTTAAGTTCCAGTTACAGTATTATCTTGGTTTCTTGCTATTTATTTTTTTAAGTTCGTCAACATTTATGCACATTTTACAATATGCATTTATTTACTACATTTGTGATGCGCTATTCAGTACTCTCAAATCATTCAAGCAATATTTGCTACCATACATGCTATTTGTGTTGGAAAGCTACTTACGTATTTTCTTTTAAGCTTTAACAAAGGTAGCTTATCATTTACACATAGAGAACCTTTGGCAGTCCAAACCATTTAGTTCATGCAGCATTAAACCTTCTAAGGTGTGTAAGTTGTGTTATCATTTGTATTATTTTGTTTTATTTACTTAATGACTCACTTCAGGAGATAGAATTGACATATACTTCTGTCCGGATTCTCTTTCATACAGATAGTATGTGGTGCCTGGTTTCTTCACCAAGTTACAGGCGTAATGATGGAGTTTGTTGTCTCTGTTGGCCTCTTCTAAAGCCTGCAAGTACATCCAAAATCACAACCATGATGTCATAAAATTCAAGAATATCACAATATTGAAGTGGGGCAATTTCAGTGCATGAATCACATTGAAAATTATTAGCTTGCAAGTTTGATTTTTCAAAAGTTAAAAATTAAAATAGCAACTATTAAAAATTCCTTCTTAATTTCATGGATTTTTCTACACCCAATTTAGGTCCAAATATCGGCCCTTTCCCCTATCAAAAATTACCGATTTTTTCCCAATTTCAGTTGCTTTTTTTCCTAAAATAAAACCATTGTTTTTGTTATATTGAATTTTTTTACGTACGACTTATCAAAAATGGAACAATATTGTTCTCAGTCATTCAGACTCTTAAAATAGTGGTGAGGAAGAGTAGATCATTTTGTGCGTTTACAAGACAGAAAAACACATGGATCATGTCAAATGTCAATTTGTGTGTAAATACATCGTAAGAAAGTGTAAGATGCATGTGAACCGGTGAAACATAGCTTTATTTTTAAATCCAAGTACTAATAGTTTTACAACAAGCATCCCTTATTCCACGAAAATCAAACCGTTTCTACACCCGGCAGATGCAACCAATATTGCAGGGTAATTGCAGCAATATGAAAGGTAATTTAGATAGCTTTTATAATGTTAGGAAAAAAATGATTTCTTATAAATCAAGTCAAATTACTCCATCTTTAATGGCTATTATGAGTAGGATTTTCTATTATGTCTACCATTATGGCAAAAAAAAATGGAAGTATAGGACGGTCACAATGATAACTTTCAAAGATTAAAAAAAAAAGTTTAAAATGTAGAACTGTGTCTAATTTGTTATTTTGTAGTAAATATTTTGAATAAATGATGTTATATTTACTTATATATTTTATTTTACCTGTCAATTAAGGTTAATTTCAATCTTATGGATTTTTTCCCAATTTTACACAAATGTCGATGATTTTTCCCAATTGTAAAGGCCCAGGCCCCATTAAAAAAACGTAGAAAATTACTGAATTTGTCAGTTTTCATAGAAATTCACTAGTTTTAATTGTGCAGATGGACAGGAATTTTGTAATCAAACATTATTTTCTGAGAAAAAAAGAACATTTCATTGGGCATTCAATAAGATACTAATGCTGAACTGCACTTTGAACTAATTCAGTTCTGTTTCCCTTGTACAAGTACATATGAAGTAGTCAAATCCACACCAATCCAGCTTTGCCCTGCGGAATCTATTTTTACCTTTCTGGCCCGCTCCTGTAGGTAGCGGATCTGGTTTGCGATCTCCGTCAGTTTACTGCCTGCTGTAGCTTTAACAAATTCATCAGCCTACAAATGTTAATGATATATACATGTATTACTTATTCTTAACCATGTTAACATGGATCACTTAAAATTTAAACCTGGAAAAACTATAAGCAACTAACCATCGACCAATAATGCTTGACTTGTATGCTTCAAAGTTCAATATTGTATGATAACCCTCTTTAAAAGGTCTTTTATATGTGTTTTAAAAGGCCAACACATATATGTACATAAAACAATATACATAAATAGAGTGATCATACAAGCATTAGAATTGACAACCCTTAGTACCTTTTGTATGGTGGTAGCTAGCTCCACTAAGTCCATCGGATCAGCTGATTTGTTTGTCCTGGCGGTGCTGACCAGCTGGACACCACATGGTCGACTGTTGCTCTCCACTAACTGGACTACAATCAGAATCAGAATTTATTCCAAGTCAGGTAATTAATGAGTTACACGAACAAGTCTGACCACCCAAGTATGCTTTAGATTAATCTGATTAAAATCAGATCCTTTGATCTGCTCACATAGATTGCTACACAAAGATCTGAGGAAACTCCATTTAGGGTCATCTCCTGGTGACCTTTCTTATAAAAATATTCATTAAAATTTTGACCAATCAGAAAGATCGTACTTAAGCGACATTCGGGAAAAGTAATGTAGAAATGAAAGTAGCTGTGAGGGAGATCTTATTGTTTCATACAAAACAAAGAGCTAAATAAACAAGGCAAAAGCAAATACCAAATATATTTCTGTACAGAAAAGACTGCAGTCATTCTTTTGACAGGCTATGGAAACCAGGTCACCATTTTCCGTTCGTGTATCATCGGGGCTTTCACTTCCGTAACTGAATTCCGAGATACTTCTAAATTCTTGCAAGCAAATGTTTGACTGGATAATTGAAAGGTCACCAGGAGATGACCCTGAATGAAGTTTCCTCAGATTCTTGTGTAGAGATCTATGCAAGCGGATCAAAGGATCTGATGTTAATCAGATTGGCTTTAGATATATCATCCACATGTAAACATTAGCTTGACTAGACACTGAGCTGACCTGACCGTCGTCTCTCATTAACAATTTCTGGAGAAAGCTTATTTATCTAACTTTAATGTTTATCTACATCTAGTATAATAATTCTATGTTCAAATTCAAACTTTTTTATTTTCAAATTTTTTTGTCCAATAAAACTACATATTATTATTAATAGTAAAAATACTTGATTTCTACATAAATCTACTGCTTCATCAATTGGTGTCAAAATATTCATGTGCGGGCAGGACAGAGAGAGACAGAAGTAGGCGGGGCTTGTAGCATGCAAAATAAACAGAATCAAGTGCATATAAATATATGGAATAACTGTCAGATTTTTTGGCTTCATGACAATGGTCAAGCAATTTGCTTGCGTGATAATGTTACAAAAACGTTTTTTGGTGTTTATGCACATGATGCAAATTATCAAGCAAGCCCATTGCTTAATCACATCATGAAACCAGATAGACAGTTATTCCTTCATTGATTTTAATTCTCTGATTGCTTTAAGGTGGGGTAACACATACATTGGTATGACAAAATCAAATTTACATGTAGTTGTTACTCATAAAGCATTAACCCCTAATAAGCTTGTATATTTTGTAGTGTTAGGAATTATCCAAAAGTGTACACAAATTTGAAATAGAGACACCCCTCAATGGATGCATATATACAAATTTGTAAAATGCATTTTGATTTGCTAAGTAGGGGTGAAATGATACACCTCCTTCACGGTTCGATACGTTTTGTATAATTTTGTCTCGGTACAGTTATTTTCGATATGATACATTTTGATAGAAGGAAACAAATTCAACCTTGTTTTATGATTTCTTTTACTAAATCTAGTCACTTAATTTACAAATTTTTATTTGCAAATTGACTAGAAGAAATTGATTAGAATTATTTGACTGTCAAAAATTATTTTATAAACTATCAGTCGTCAAAAATTTACGTTTTCTATACTTATTTATATTAAGTAACGTGTTTTACCTTATGCCAAACCCGAATGAATAACGATCCCGTCCGAAAATGAACCAAACCAAAAATTAAAGATTTTGCACCGTGTATCAAACCAAGAAAAAATACTGCGGTGAATCGATACCGCGGTGAACCATTTCACTCCTATCACTAAGGCACTAGTGCTTGAGGCATTTAGACTAGCATCAATGAGAGTGAAATCTTTTGATTTTGACATCATAATAATGCAACGGGTTTTTACCCCTCCACTAACTTGTCGCTGGTAAAAACTCTGATTGCAATCGTTAATTCAATTAGCATTAATAGTGACAAAATATATTAAATGAGAAGACAGTTTTTCCCTTATGGGAAGTAAATATATGTAAATTAGGGAATAACTGTCTTCTCATTTGTTATTTGCAACCGTTAATACTGATTTAACGGTCGCAAACTGAGTTTTACCGGCGAGGCATAAGTGGAGCCAGTAAATCGGATGCTTGCGACCGTTAAATCAGCATTAAGGGTCAAAAATAACAAATGAGAAGACAGTTATTCCCATTCTAATGCAATTTATGCATTTTGTTTGATGTTTACGTCTTATTTTGGTGAGTTTTGTTACATGAAATACGTCATGAAGCATTGTGTTTTTGCGTCGTTTTATTTTAACATCACAATCGAAAGCTATCATTCTCGTTAATGCATGTTTTACTGCCTCAAACATTGGTGTACTATACAATCAAAATGCATTTTACAAAACAGTTGCATTAGAATGTGAATTCGTGTATTAAAATAAAATAATTACATAACAGGGTTCAATGTTCTTAAACCAGTGACATAACTTTATATATTCCATTTTACACAAAATATTTAACCAAAATCTAATTTTTCACGACATGACAATAGTGCAGATGGTGTCTGTAGGTAAGGATTTAAAAGATATAATCAAACCATACAATCATTAAACAGTGTTAAATATATCCAATACACATGATACATACATGTGTTTACAAAAATTTGTTACACAACATTCGAAGGTATCGATATCGTTTCAATATTCCTGATCCACGTTTTCTTTCTGAAAACTACAGAGTGTTTTTGTAAACTTACCAGCTTTGGTGTGTGCAGGGGGATTTTGACTCATTGTGTAACAGAGGAACACTCCTGACTGCTGTAGACCCTATATGATGTTTCTTCTCCTCTGAGGTTTCACCGGAAACAGACAGTGCGACGGATTCGCGTCCTCGATTTATATAAAGGATAATGACGTCACTATACCTCATGATAATTCGTACCTTTTCGTTTCGTGCAAAATTTTGTAAAAATTCCCAGGTAGGAGGTTAGGCTAGAATTTTTACGAAATGTTTAATTCAAGTAATTTTTCAAATTATTCCATCAAAAATGTATAATTAAAAAATAATTTTTCGTTGAAGATTCGGAGAAGGGGTGGTTGTTGTGTGTGTGTGTGTGTGTGTGTGTTTTTGTTTGTTTGTTTGTTGTTGTTTTTTTTTTCGAGGGGGGGGGGGGTTCCCACAGTTCGTCCTCAACATGCTCAAACACCAGCGGAACTCGTAATTAAGAGAGCTCGATGAATACATTCCTTTTGCGGAACAGAATACCAAACCAAACAGAATCTGCATCTAGTGTTTGTGTGTGTGTGTTCGGAGGGGGGGGGGGGGCGATCATTTTTCTTCACTGGTGCTAAAGCAGTGGCGTATATTCCATATAGGCAAAGGCTGTAGCCTACACATCATTTTGTCATGGATAAAAAAAAAATGGTTGTAAAGGAGGAGAAAAGATGATAATAATTCTTATCTATTAAATTTATTTTGTTGCAAATGCAAATGCAAAAAAAAAAAAAAAAAAAAAAAAAAAAAAAAAAAAAATCCTAGCAATCCGTGTTTTTATACCTATAACAAAACTTCCTATACCTGGATTTTTTTTAATTCCGAAACTCAAGTGGTATATTAAGTCTGTACTAGACAATTTCAAAACCATCGACGGCAACAGGAGGCCATGATTACTGCAGGAAATGAAATTAATATTATTGGAAACATATTTTGGTTATAGTAGGAAATCAGAGACATATGTCTCTGAGGAAATTAAATGTATTGATCGTATTAAGATTATTCAGTAAGGAAGTTTCCATATTTTCTAAGCAGAGTAAAAAATAAGTGAAAATTGAAGTTCTCAATTTTGTTAAGTAGTCTTCATATCATAATACAAACTGAAAAAAAAAAATGTTTACAATATTATTTTCACTTGTCAAATTGTAGATGACAATCGTACATGTCTTATAGTTCGGAAAAAAAAACTCCCCCAGAAACCCCTCCTCCAATCCCTATCGAGAGGGGGGCGAAATTCTCCTTGCCTACCCACACTTTGCGCCTCAGATTTAATCTGTGACTTCTCACTAGCCTACACATTAGCAGATAGGATGCCACTGAAAAGTATAACATCTGATCGCTAACATCTGACATTTCGTTGTAATGCTTTTGTGCTTTAAGATGGATCAGATGCCAATCTCCTAGTAACATGCACCACGATATTGGGATAAAAGAATAAAATCTAGATCTGTGAAATTTAATTAGCAAGGTCTATACTCCCAGCTTTAAAAAAAAAAACAACAAAGCACGCCTATATGTGACTACTGTTACAAAATAATAAGTAAAACACTCTCATCCCCACCCCGGATGTTTCGAGCTCTTATTGGCATGGTAAAAGAATCTGCTGAAATATATTAAGAAAAAAATATATAAGTACATTATTTTGTACGTCAATCCACATGCGCTTGGTTTCAAGGTGGTGTATTTCGTATGTTGTGTATTTTTCCATGTCTGTAAATACACTCGTTAAAATAAAATATCAAGAATTGCTGAAATTAGCATTCTTTTTTTAAATAAAATATTTCTGTGTGTCTTTTATGTACAAAAATATGATATCTTTTTAAATGCTAATTTTGGCGATTTTTTATTAATGAGTGTGTTTCATTGGCGGATCCAGAAGGAGGGGCGGGCCCGGGGGCTGGAATCCCCCCTCCTTTATTTTTCGCCGAGTGGAAATGAGAGAGAGAGGATATTTAAACGTTTGTTGGAATAGATACTTGTAAGTTTAACTCACGTTTTATAAACGTTGTTCGATTCAAAACAATTCAAATGGTTGGTCATATATTCCATTTGCTATAAGATAGAGTCTCACAAATTTTCTTTTACCCCATTTACCTTCACTTTTCCCGGCCTTTCTTTCAGCTTTTTTTTTTTTAATTATTTATGAGTGAATGGAATAAAATGTTCTACTTTTTTCAATATATGATGAGTAATTAATCTTGTTAATATGCGAGGTTAATTTGATATCGGATTCCGACGATCTTTGGCTATATATTCGTACCATTTTCGGATTATCTTTTAAAGGAACTAAATTAAATAAGTCAATAAAGGTAACATGCATAAGGCCACAGTAAATTATATATAATTCTTTGATTTAGTACAAAAGCCTACCAAGGACAAAAAGTTTTTTTTCAAATTCTAAAAAAAATTCTATGTTTTCTTTGGAAATGCTGCAAATCTATTCAATTTTAAAGACTTCAGTAGTTTTTAGTTTTTTGAACTTTTTTTTCTCTTTAAATTCGGACTGGGAAGGGGGGGGCTTCAATTAACGTACAAATATAAAACAAGGATATTATTTACCACGATGGGGGGGGGGGGTTTAGAGGGTCACCACCCGGGAACCCCCATTCAAAGATTGCTGGATCCGCCCCCTGTGTTTAGAGACAAAGAAAAATAACCATCTGAAACCATAGACCTAAAGCATTTGTCTATGCTGAAACCAAACGCTATGCATGAGTCAAGTGCACTTGTACCAGAAATATGCAAAATATACAAAATTCCCTGTGACGTCAATTGTCACGTGACTCCTGGCTATCAACATGGCGAGCGGGGGGAAACCTGCAAATAAACCCGTGGCCGTGAAGGCACAGGAATTCCTCGTGGGTCCACGCTATGTTGACTTGAAATACATAGGGGAGGGCGCATATGGAATGGTTGTGTAAGTTATAAGCATGCACCTGCACGCAACTGCAGTCAAGGGACGTTACTCTATTGTCTTTTCTATGTTAAAAACGAGATATTTAAGACATTTATATGAAGCGTTTTGTGACTGTACTCTTTGCTCTGTTTTTATGTAAAGTGCATTGTGGTATAATAATAGTTGCCTGTAGAAGTATTTAACACTGGTAAATCACTATACAACCAGTTGACAAGTTCATAGTAATGTAGGATTTATCAAACAAGTCATTGAATGAACCAACCACATATTTTGACAACTTGTACGAAGGGAAAAAAGAATTTAATTTACATTTTTTTACAAGAAAATTTAAATCAAATTAATACATTTTTTTTCCAAGACAAGGTGATAAACACAATATTGTGTTGACTGTGCAGAAGTTTATAATTTTATCATTTTAATGATAATGCATTTTAACTACTCCTTGTGATAAATAAAATAACAGTATCTACAAGCATATATTAAAGGTGAAATCTTTGATGTGTATTTATAATCTGCAGAGATGGATGCACAACTTTTCTCACCAAGTTTATGAAACCTAAAAATTTGTGTATTAGTGTAATTTGAGTAAAGTAAATTTTCTAACGACATGTCATATCATTATTTACAGCATTATTCTCTCAAACTTTCAGATCGGCTCTGGACACAGTTACCAAACAGAAGGTTGCCATTAAGAAGATCTCACCTTTTGAACATCAGACCTATTGCCAAAGAACACTCAGAGAAATCAAGATATTAACAAGGTTCAAACATGAAAATGTAAGTAACAATTCAGATAATAACCCTAATTCTAACCCAACGAACAACCAGAGAAATCAAGATATTAACAAGGTTCAAACATGAAAATGTAAGTAACAATTCAGATAATAACCCTAATTCTAACCCAACGAACAACCAGAGAAATCAAGATATTAACAAGGTTCAAACATGAAAATGTACGTAACAATTCAGATAATAACCCTAACTCTAACCCAACAAACAACCAGAGAAATCAAGATATTAACAAGTTCAATCATGAAAATGTTACTAAAAATTCAAACAATAAGACCAAGAAAAAGTATTCTTGTTCATTAAATCCAGTCAACAAAATTTATCCTACAGGTTTTTTTTTTTCAATCAAAATTTTCAGAAAATTAAAATGGGGGAGGGGGTGCCTTTTTTTAAAGTATCAATTTATTATGATAATAAGTTTTGATTTAAATTAAAAAATAGAAAACAATAAGAAGAGATGAAGCATGGTAAGGTGCAGCTACCATCTACTGCTTAAACAGTCAGGGGAAGGACATATTTCATGATTTGCCTTAATAACATGAATTCAATAATACAGATTTAAAAGTGAAGGAGGAAAGTTTATTTCCAATCAAGGACCCACAGAGGTTTGCATATAGACTAGTGTTTGAAACTCACTGTAAAATTAGCCAGACATGCAGGTCACTTTAACAAAAATGATAAAAATACATACATTACATAGTTAGTAGAAATGACATTTATCAATCATTTTTCAATATGATGGATTTCAGTCTCACCCCTGACTGTATATCAGAATCTGGGGTACCGTCAGAATGGTCAGTGGCCTTAAATTAGGAAAATTAATGAGTTACTGGACATCAATGATAGATCAGAAATCAAGCCTTACAATGGGTCAGTCATTATTTATTACAATCATTTATTATGACTTTACTGACCATACCATAAAGAGGCTAAGGGACAAAGAGGAAATGTGGCCTTGAAAGCATTTCCTTGTTCATGTCACAATAGCAGCACACATATATATTACTTACGATAAACTGATCAATACACCTGGCTTTACTGGTCTAAAATAGAAAAACATTGATGATGTGTAATGATGATGTAGAACAATTGTATAGAAGATAAAGAGAGTTCAATAAAAAATGTTTAAGTAAATGGTTCAGGTAGTCACTACTAATTATTTTTGTGCTAAGTTTGGTGCCATTAATTATATTGATTGATGCTGGAGAATCTTTATGTCAAAAGATTTTTGTTGTTGATGATATTGATTAACCATTGATTATTTACTCCTTTACAGATAATTAATATACAAGACATTTTAAGGGCACCAACTATTGAGGAAATGAAAGATGTGTATCCTTTAACAAGAATGTCATTCTTTTAGATTCTCTGTCTTTGATTGGTTAGAGTATTATCTAAATTTGTCTTTGATTGGTCAGAGTATTTGTCTAAATTTGTCTTTGAGTGATCAGAGTATTTGTCTAAATTTAAAAAAATTGATAGTGTTGTTCATTGAGAAATAATGAAATAAAATAATTACAGTTTTTCATGCTCATCAGTGCTTCTTCAGTATTATTCCTTATTAGAGTTTAGATATATAGTACAATGTTTGATGGAAACAGACATGTACAAACTTTTGAAGACACAGCAGCTGAGTAACGATCACGTCTGCTACTTCCTGTACCAGATTCTACGAGGTCTCAAATACATACATTCTGCTAATGTCCTTCACCGTGACCTCAAACCTAGCAATCTCCTACTCAACACAACGTGTGACCTAAAGGTAGGTACTGAGTCCTCACACAACATGTGACCTAAACTAAGAACAATGTCCTTGACACAACATGTAATCTGAAGGTCCACACTGAATCCTCAAAACAGCTTGTGACTTACAGGTAGGTAGCAAGTCCTTCTCTCTCATACGGCTTTAGTTAGAAACATGAAACTTTCAGGTATGGTAGACCTATCACTGTAGATATGCGGAAGGCGTTTCATTTTTATTGGAAGTGTCGTACGTCGGCGCTCGCTATGACCCAAAAAAAGTCCTATCGGGAATTTGAAAATTTTTAACACCTTTTCTATAATATCTTTTTACCTGTAAATATTTTGTTAAAACATATAGAACAAAAGTTGTGTAGAATGTTACGATTCTTCAAATGATACCAACAATAAGGGCCTGGCCCCTAACGTTAGGGAGCTAGAGGGGCCAAAAGTGTTTTCGCGATATCTCAAAAAGTGTTGAGAATTTTGTATAGCTTCGTAGAAGGAAAGTTGTTCCAAATGATAAGTAGCAGCTAAGGAGACCATTGAAAGTCGTCAAAATGACGTCACTTCCGGTCACACCGAGAGTAATGGTAAATGGCTCATTTTTAGCTCTACTGGTCAGAGACCAGAAGAGCTTATGCAATAGTAAGGTGTACGTCGTCCGTCCGTCTGTCTGTCTGTCTGTCCGTCCGTCTGTAAACAATTTTTCAAAATGCTACTCCTCCTACAGTTTTGGTCTGATTTCAGTATTACTTGGCACACAAGTAGACTACACTAAGATACATAATTCTGTGTATCGGTTTTTGATTTCAATGAACGGTGTTGCCATGGTTACTAAAAATAGAAATTTCTGTGAAAAACATTCAAAATGCTACTCCTCCTACACTTTTGGTCTAATTTCAGTATAACTTGGCACACAAGTAGACTACACTAAGATACATAATTCTGTGTTTCGGTTTTTGATTTCGATGAACGGTGTTGCCATGGTTACTAAAAATAGAAATTTCTGTGAAATACTTTCAAAATGCTACTCCTCCTACAGTTTTTATCTGATTTCAATATTACTTGGCACACAAGTAGACTATAATAAGATACATAATTCTGTGTATCAGTTTTTGATTTCAATGAACGGTGTTGCCATGGTTACTAAAAATAGAAATTTCTGTGAAATACTTTCAAAATGCTACTCCTCCTACAGTTTTTATCTGATTTCAATATTACTTGGCACACAAGTAGACTATAATAAGATACATAATTCTGTGTATCGGTTTTTGATTTCAATGAACGATGTTGCCATGGTTACTAAAAATAGAAATTTCTGTGAAATACTTTCAAAATGCTACTCCTCTTACAGTTTTGGTCTGATTTCAGTATAACTTGGCAAACAAGTATCCTACACTAAGATACATAATTCTTTATATTGATTTTCTGTTTTCGATGAACATTGTTGCCATGGTTACTAAAAATAGAAATTTCCTTGAAATACCTTCAAAATGCTACTCCTACAGTTTTGGTCTGATTTTAGTATTACTTAGCTCACAAGTAAACTACACTAAGATACATTATTCTTTGTACCAGTTTTGGATTTCGATGAACAGTGTTGCCATGGTTACTAAAAATAGAAATTTCCTTGAAATACCTTCAAAATGCTACTCCTCCTACAGTTTTGGTCTAATTTTAGTATAACTTAGCACACAATTAGACTACACTAAGATACATAATTCTCTATACCAGTTTTGGATTTCAATGAACGATGTTGCCATGGTTACTAAAAATAGAAATTTCTGTGAAATACTTTCAAAATGCTACTCCTCTTACAGTTTTGGTCTGATTTCAGTATAACTTGGCAAACAAGTATCCTACACTAAGATACATAATTCTTTATATTGATTTTCTGTTTTCGATGAACATTGTTGCCATGGTTACTAAAAATAGAAATTTCCTTGAAATACCTTCAAAATGCTACTCTTACAGTTTTGGTCTGATTTTAGTATTACTTAGCTCACAAGTAAACTACACTAAGATACATTATTCTTTGTACCAGTTTTGGATTTCGATGAACAGTGTTGCCATGGTTACTAAAAATAGAAATTTCCTTGAAATACCTTCAAAATGCTACTCCTCCTACAGTTTTGGTCTAATTTTAGTATAACTTAGCACACAATTAGACTACACTAAGATACATAATTCTCTATACCAGTTTTGGATTTCAATGAACGGTGTTGCCATGGTTACTAAAAGTAGAAATTTTCTTGAAATACTTTCAAAACGCTACTCCTCCTACACTTTTTGTCTGATTTCAGTATAATGTGGCATACAAGTAGACTACAGAGTTATTGTTTTTTGATTTTGTTGAATGATGTTGCCATGGTTACTTAAATCAAAATTTCTGTAAAATTGTTTTAATAGGCTACTCCTCCTACAGTTTTAGTCTGATATAATAATAAATCTTGCCACAAAAGAGACTAAACCAAGGATCATTATTCTGTTTATTGCTGTTGCAAATATTCAAGTCAAAGTGCTACTTTTATCTTCCTTTATAAATACAACCAGTAGAGCTACAGTCTCGTCAGAGACTTCTGGTTGCACATGTGACCGTAGAAGTCTCTCGATCTCAATCTTTTCCTTCAAACTTAGACGGAAGACTTATTTGTTGCTTTGCAACAAGCTCGTCTAGTAATAATTAACTTCTTTGACCTTTCTTAGCAGAAATCACTTGAAATGCCATTGTTTATTGGGTCTTTCCACCTGTCTGTATGACTTTGACCTTGACCTTTATCCAAGGGTCGGATAGGAAAGTAAAGACATGCATCCAGCGAAAGTCTCAGTGTAAAACATAGAGAGTAAATAGTTTTTTTTTTTTTATAACATGACCTTGACCTTTGACCTTGACATATGACCTTGATATTAAGGTCAGAATGTTTACTGAGGAAGTGGAGTTGATAACAACTCCCAGTTTATAACAGGCTAAGGATGATAATATTAAACCCCACCCCCACCCCCCCACCCCCCCTTTTTCGAAAAAAAAAATCACAGCAGTTGCAACATAGAATATCGCTCTAAAAATAAATTCACACATCGGATCGACACAAAACTTCAGAGAATTGTAGTTGAGACGCCAAAGTAACTTTCTGTAGAGTTTTATTGTCTATCTCTCAAAAATGTAGAAATTACAATTTTTTTTGGAAAAACTTGAATGAAAAATATCACCCTGAGAGCTATGTGAAGTCTTTCTCTAAATTTTAAATCGCACTTCGGATAGATATAAAGCTTCACGGAGTTGTAGTCAAGAACCAACAGGAACTTTCTAAAGTGTTTTATTGTCCTTCTCTCTCTGTCTCAAAAACCTAATAAAAGGTGAATACAATTCACCCTCAAAACTGGAATATGTGACTTTGGGTGTCAATCTTGTCCTCAAGGTGACATTGACATAAAGATCAGTACAGTTTCATCCTCAACACAACACTTGATCTTAATATTGGTAAATAAGTAATTAAAAATACAGTTAGTAAGTTCAAGTTGGAAAAGAGAAAAGCTAGATACTATTACAAGACTTTTAAATTGCTGGATATTTTTTCATTGGTAGAATTATCTTTGAGAACTTATATTGTAGATTTGTGATTTTGGGTTGGCTCGAGTTGCTGATCCTAATCATGATCACACAGGGTTTTTGACTGAGTATGTAGCCACGAGATGGTACCGAGCTCCTGAGATCATGCTCAACTCCAAGGGCTACACTAAGTCTAGTAAGTACATTGTAATACTGTTTATTTGAAATCTTTTGACTGATTGGTCTTCTGTGTTAGGCATTGAGAAACATTTAAATTCAGATGATGAAAGACAATACTTGTAGTATTAGCCATATTTCATTCTTCAGTTTCAAAGTCCACAAGTGACCTGTTGAAAAGTATAGGTCTGTGGAGAGTATACTATAACTTGCTGGATGTTATATATATTTGTGTGCATTTTTAGCTCACCTCATGAAGTTGGGGGAGCTTATGTAATACCCTCGGCATCCCAGGTTAAAGTTTTTGGTGCAGTTTTCTTTTCAAGTACTTCTGTGCCCTATATTAATCAGAGATGCATGTAGGATGCTTCTAGTATGTTTCATTGTACCAGTCAAGGTTTCAGATACTGCAATTTCAGCTGAAGAATGACCAGGTAAATGTGTTTGGAGCAGGTTAAAGTTCTTAGAGCAGGTTAAAGTTTTTGAAGCAGGTCTCATTTCCAAGTAACTATAAGCCCTACATTGACCAAACTTGCATGGATGATACATCTAAGGATGCAAACTACCACGCTTGCTTTGGATGCTAGATCTGACCTACATTTTCCGGATGAATGACCAGTTTAAAGTCTTGAGAGCAGCCTCATTTCTAAGTAAGGCCATTCCAAGTTTTTTCTCTGTTTAGCGTCCACCCATCTTTCAAAAACCTACCTACTTATTCGCAAAAAACACACAAACCAAAAAATAAAAAAAAGAATTGATAATCATAAAAATGAGGTCAGTCAAAGGATTTGATTTCATTAATCTACTTTTCTCATAGTTAGATCTATTCTTAAGCAAAATCAGGATATTAAATGCTTAAAGTTTACCTAACATGACATATTGTAGACAACTATGTAGAGAAATTGACTGAATTCAAAGATTTTGACCAGAATAATCAGTTTTAGGACTCCTGATTCTGTTTGTTTTTAGCTCACCTGAGCTGAAAGCTCAAGTGAGCTTTTCTGATCACCCATTGTCCGTCGTCCGTCCGTCTGTCCGTCCGTCTGTCGTCCGTCTGTAAACTTTTCACATTTTCGACTTCTTCTCAAGAACCACTGGGCCAATTTTAACCAAACTTATTACAAAGCAACCTTGGGTGAAGGGGAGTTTAAATTGTTAAAATGAAGGGCCAAGTCCCCTTCAAAGGGGAGATAATCAAGAAAATACAAAAATTGGGTGGGGTCATTAAAAAATCTTCTTCTCAAGAACCACTGGGCCAGAAAAGCTGAAACTTATCTGGAAGCATCCTAAGGTAGTGTAGATTCTTAATTGTTCAAATCATGACCCCCGGGGGTAGGGCGGGGCCACAATAGGGAATCCAAGTTTTACATTGAAATATGTAGTAAAAATCTTTAAAAATCTTCTTCTCAAGAACCACTGGGCCAGAAAAGCTGAAACTTACGTGGAAGCATGCTGGGGAAGTGTAGATTCTAAATTGTTCAAATCATGACCCCCGGGGGTAGGGCGGGGCCATAATAGGGAATCCAAGTTTTACATTGAAATATATAGGAAAAATCTTTAAAAATCTTCTTCTCAAGAACCACTGGACCTGAAAAGCTGAAACTTATGTGAAAGCATGCTGGGGTAGTGTAGATTCTAAATTGTTCAAATCATGACCCCCGGGGGTAGGGCGGGGCCAAAATAGGGAATCCAAGTTATACATTGATATATATAGGAAAAATCTTTAAAAATCTTCTTCTCAAGAGTCACTGGGCCAGAAAAGCTGAAACTTATGTGGAAGCATGCTGGGGTAGAGTAGATTCTAAATTGTTCAAATCATGAACCCCGGGGGTAGGGCGGGGCCACAATAGGGAATCCAAGTTTTACATTGATATATATAGGAAAAATCTTTAAAAATCTTCTTCTCAAGAATCTCTGGGCCAGAAAAGCTGAAACTTAGGTGGAAGCATGCTGAGGTAGTGTAGATTCTAAATTGTTCAAATCATGACCCCCGGGGGTAGGGCGGGGCCACAATAGGGAATCCAAGTTTTACATTGAAATATATAGGAAAAATCTTTAAAAATCTTCTTCTCAAGAACCACTGGGCCAGAAAAGCTGAAACTTACTTGGAAGCATGCTGGGGTAGTGTAGATTCTAAATTGTTCAAATCATGACCCCCGGGGGTAGTAAGGGGCCACAATAGGGAATCCAAGTTTTACATTGATATATATAGGAAAAATCTTTAAAAATCTTCTTCTCAAGAACCACTGGGCCAGAAAAGCTGAAACTTACTTGGAAGCATCCTTGAATAGTGTAGATTCTAAATTGTTCAAATCATGACCCCCGGGGGGTAGGGCGGGGCCACAATAGGGAATCCAAGTTTTACATTGAAATATGTAGTAACAGGGATTTTTTTACCCTTTGATTCCAGGGGCCGGGGCCATCAAGATTGGGAAAAATAGCGATATTTGGTTGAAATTGGGAAAAATATCTTCATACAAATAAATAGGAAAAAACAAGCAAAAGTCAAATATTTAATAATTTTTTCTTTTTTTTATAGTATGAAGCTGGCTTAAACCAGCTTTAGTGATATGAAATAATAGCAGCTGTTGAAATTCAGAAGCTTAAAAATGGCAAAGCCGCAGGGTATGATAACATTGTAAATGAACATATTTATACGTCATCTTTATTACCTTTATGCAAGAAGTTCTTTCAAATAACATTTAATAGTGGGTTTGTTCCAGATGAGTGGTTAATTGGTATTGTTTGACCAGTTTATAAGAAAAAGAGCGATTCAACACAGCCTGAAAATTACCGTCCTAGGCAAACTGGAGAGACTGACATGAGCATGATGCACGTTTATTTTTCAGATAACGATCCCGACTTTAATTTTTAAACATCGATCCCGCTTTAAAAAGTATGCATGCAAACATCCGGAGTATTCCGAATAACTTCTCGGAAGTCCTCGGATGGCTGGTACATCGCACATAGAGAACATAAACACCTTTTTGTCATTATTTTATTTTAATAATTTACAACCTAATACTTTTTTTTTCATATTGGGAATTTTTAGGTATGATTTTGGGAAAAACATACACTTTTCAGCATTGGGAATGGGGCCGAATTTCGGCCCCAGAGAGACCCTAAAAAAATCCCTGAGTAAAAATCTTTAAAAATCTTCTTCTCAAGAACCACTGGGCCAGAAAAAAAGCTGAAACTTATGTGGAAGCATGCTGGGGAAGTGTAGATTCTAAATTGTTCAAATCATGACCCCCGGGGGTAGGGCGGGGCCACAATAAGTACTATGGGGGGGGGGGAGAAATCAGGTGAAAAACAGCAAGGCCAAAGTTACTCAGGTGAGTGCTGTGGCCCATGGGCCTCTTGTTTCTTATATTGGGTGTCAAAAACCTAGGCGCACGCGGACGCTAAACAGAGAAAAAACTTGGAATGGCCTAACTATAAGCCCAATGTTGTTTAAACTTGCATGGATGATACATCTAAGGATGCACACTACTGGACTTGCTTCAGATGCTGGATCTGACCGACATTTTCCAGCTGAGTGACCAAGTTTGAGTTTTTGGAGCAGGTCTCATTTCCAAGTAACTATAAGTCCTATATTGACCAAACTTGCATGGATGATACATCTAAGGATGCACACTACTGGACTTGCTTCGGATGCTGGATCTGACCTACATTTTCTGGATGATGACCAGGTTAAAGTTTTTGGAGCAGGTCTTATTTCCAAGTAACTATAAGTCCTATATTGACCAAACTTGCATGGATGATACATCTAAGGATGCACACTTCTGGACTTGCTTCGGATGCTGTATCTGACCGACATTTTCCAGATGAGTGACCAGGTTAAAGTAAACTATAAGGGCTATGGCTATCTGAACCAAACTTGCATGGATGATGCATCACATGATGAACACTCTCAAACTTGCTTCAGATGCTGGATATGACTTACATTTTCTGGGTGAGTGACTAGTTTAAAGTTTTTAGGTAAGTCCATTCCCAAGTAACTTCAAGCCCTATCAGACCAAAATTGCATAAATGTTACATCTAGGGATGCACACTACTAGATTATTAGTTTGGGACTTTGCCTTACTTAAAGACAACATTTGTTGAGGTGAGCTCTGTAATCTCTGATTACCTATGTCAATCATGTCTTCACTCATTGATTGATCTGTGGGGTGGGGTGTTTTATAAACATCAGATGACATAAAATGAGGTAATATAAGTTCAGTCAATTTAATACCCCACAAGTTGATTCCCCGCCAAATTAAAAATTTGATGACCAGGTGCATAACCACCCATTGGATGACTTGGATTAGCTCACGCCAATGCATTATTAGACCTATACTTTTAAAGTTTTCAAACATATCAAATTTTGCACATGAAGAATACATTGAAGTAAATATTCCAGAAGTACTCAGGGTTAGGGTGTGCATGTGTATCACATTACCTTGTGTCATCAGTGATGTGTATGGCTGAATATATGGATGACAGTTTATGTTAAATAGGATATCACTGTACAGTCATTAACCAACCACAAGTAGTGATTTCATTACAAACTAGACAGAGAAGATGTGGTAAATGTATCCACTTTGATTTATGATCTCTGATCTCTTTCAGTTGATGTTTGGTCTGTTGGGTGTATTCTGGCTGAAATGTTAATGAATCAGCCTCTCTTCCCAGGAAAACACTGTATCCTTCATATGCTTTCACAAGAGAGAGCAACATTTCTTTTATTATTTAAAGTGGTGATGTTCCATGTCATGTCCTGGAGTTATTTCCCTTTTAAACCAGACCAAAGTTGTTTCACTTGAGATATTAAAAAAGTTACTTGTGTGTATCACTGCTTTACCAGATATTATTTTTTTATTTATTTAATATTTATTTATTTTTTTTTTCATTAAAATGTTGTTCTGCTTATGCAGATTTAAAGTGAGTCTCAATATTTTTATTGACTTTAATTTCAAATGTACATGTATTAGATAAATGCTTCAAAAACTGGTTTACCTCTCCTGAAATTGCTCATGGAACAAGCACTACTGACATACAATAATACAATAAGGCGAACATTTTTTATTAAATGATTTACGGGAATTTTTTTTTTGAAAAATTGGGTCGGGGGGGGGGGGGGGGGGGGATAAATAAAAATAAAAATCCATATTCTGCGCAGTCGACTAAAAAAATAAAAATAAAATTGGAAAAATTGTCTGATTTTTTAATTTTCATTTATTCGATAAAATATGATATATATAAAGTGTGGAGGTTAAAATATGATAACCGCAACACAAAAAATAAAAGTAGACTATTAAACCCTTATGAGAAATGGGGGAAATCTAAGGAATTTCTTCATGTTCTTATCAAAATATTAATCATGACCACAACAAGATCTCCAAAGAAAAAAAGTTTATAATGAGAACCTCAATTTTCTCAAAGTACTGAAAAATCTGAACCAACAAATCAAAAATGGAAAATATTGTTATAAAGAGAATCTCACTGTAATATAAAACCCAGAATCATGATTTAAACCTGTATTTTGCAATGCAGCATATGTTTATGCATATTAACAAACATCTGAAAGCTTGACAGTATTAACACATTAAATACCGTTCTGTATGCAGTTTTTGTTTATATCTATTCTACAACTATTTAACACACAACAAAATACATATGAATTTCTAGTCCGTACAGTGCTGCACATATGCAAGTTAGATATGTCTCATTTTATTCTTCACAAAATTCGAACATCAATTTTCGATTTTCATTCTTTTATCACGTTCATCAAAGGTATCAAAATTGTAAAAGAGAACTACTGTTACGGTACCCACAGCGAAAGTGACAGTCCTGTCAACATATCCTTTAGTAAAATTAGGCTGATCATTTCTTTAATTTCTTTTGAACTCCAACTTAATTTCGTCATTGGACATACTCCAATTGATTTTCCTGATCTTCCTGTTAGCTATGGTTGACTTAGAAAAACTATCGTACATGTATACATGTAAGGACAAAGTATTCTCAACTTTTGTAAATGTTGACATTTCTGCATCAATGTTGGCACGTTTTATACACTTCCGAAACAATTGATAACAAATGTAAATTGATTCGATAATAATAATGGCTTTCAATAAAGCAGCCAATCAGAATTGCCGACTTATTTGCACATAATTTTATTTTCTAAGTGCACTTGCATTGACAATCGGCGGAAATTTAAAAATAAAATCAACGACAGGGACTTTTATTTTTATTTTGTTTTATCCAAAATTGCAGTGGGCGCTCCCGTAAGTCATTTTATAAAAAAAATGTTGGCCTAATATTAAGTAAATCTACACACAAGTTTTTTGTTCTATAATGATATTGTCCCCCATCATCGGCTACAATTGTCCTTAGCGTAGACAGATCTGGATCAACTGAATCACATACTGGGAGTCCTAGGATCTCCAGGTCAGGAAGACCTGGATTGTATACTCAATGAAAAGGTATGTATCTTGTTAAAGATTTAATGATAATTTTTACACACTTAATCATCATTATCAATATTTTGAAAAAAGAAATTATCATTTTGATAGAGGGTTATCATATTCAAGGTTCGTACAGCAAGTGTGACAAGACATATCAAACTATGATTATATCCAGTGTTTAAGCATACTTTCAAGTATTTTAAATTGTACCTGCCTCAGAATGTTCAGTTCTTTGATTTTGTCTCACCCATAGGCCAGAGGCTACATCCAGTCCCTTCCCTATAAACCCAAGGTAGCTTGGAACAGACTTTTCCCCAGAGCTGATCCCAAAGGTATGAATATAAACACTCAATAAAACGGAACCCCCCCCCCCAAAAATTTAGTAGATAGTAATAAAGTGGTAGAAGGTAGAAGTACTCTTCTCAAATTGACATTTATTCCTTAGTGGAGCCACTATTTATAAGCAATGTAAATAACAACTGTATCCCAGTTTTTCCTTATTTGTGTTTTAAGAGATTTTCCTGCTTTTAAAATTTTCAGTAAGGCATATAGAAAGATGAGATTATGTCAGTAATTGAAAAGAAGTTCAAAATATGTCATGTCTATTGCAGCTTTAGATCTTCTGGATAAAATGTTGACCTTTAACCCCCATAAGAGACAAACTGTGGAGGAGTTACTGGCACATCCCTACTTAGAACAATATTACGACCCTGCAGATGAGGTGAGTAATAAAGTCTTTTTCTCAAGAACAGCAAAGCCATGATTAGACAATAGTTCATACTTGTTATCACAATTACTTTACTAAATGGAACTCTTTCGAGATGGAGGTAGGAAATGTCTATTAGCTGGCGGCAAGTTTTGTTGAATACAATTCTAAGGTGAAAAAAAATAACTTGGTTCTCGGGCCAGTTTTCTCAGAAATAAATGCGTGAGGGAGGCTTTTTTCCCCCCTTTTTATCTCATAAACAGATGCGGGATTTTTGATTTTTTTTTTCATTATTTCAAAACTACCAACTTTTAATCAATGGTGCTTCAACATTGAGTGTAGAAATCAAGATAATTTATTTCCTGCTTCTTTCTCTTGCATCTTCTACATTCCAATGATTCAGGTAATGAAACGACAGCATCCTAAAAACCAGATATGTGTTAAACTTACAGAACCCAACACGTTTAGTGATGCATCTGGTCAGTTACTTACGTAACACAACTAATCTAGGAGTGTTTCAGCACTATTAATAGCACTTATGATTTTATGAAAAATTATCAAATTTATCAGTTTTTGGTTTACCCACACCAAATGAGATCTGCAAATCTTGCTGACGTCCAAGTTCCGAGGTTGATGGAGCCTTCTTTGATAGCGTTATTGATCAAGTTCTAGCATGGAAAAACCCCCAGTTTGAGAGAAACTCCCACTTTGTACCATGGAAGTATTACAGTCATTCCCTTATGACTTTGCACTGAAATCAATGCCATCATGAATAAACTTAATCTTGACGTCTTATCCTGTTAACTCGATGGTCATATTTGTGATTTTTAACTAGGCCATTAGTCTGGATCATCTTGATGTTTGTCAAACGTTTTACTGATTTCTAAAATGCAGTCAAAATGCAGTCAGGAATGGAGAGAAAATTTATTTTATTATTTAAGGATAAAAATGGGTAATGCGCATTGTTGAATTAGATGCGGGCGGGCCTGAGAACCAAGTTATTAATTTTTTTAGGCCTAATTGAATGCAACCGTTTTCTTCAGATAATCGTTACTTTTAGAAGCTGAAAAAATACTTTAAACATTCCTAATTAGACAACCTACTATTTGAAGTTCAACTCTTGGCAATATATTGTACTTTGGACATACTGATATTCGAATCATTTGATTGTCACTAGAATAAACGATATTATGCTCCAGAAATCTTGCAAGATTTAGAAATTCTTTGACTTTACAACAGAAGAGCAGAATTAAGTGGGACATCTCTGAGGTGATTGTGATACTAAGTAATATTTATATGAAAGCATTTTCAGGTAGTGTAGACTACTTAGCTCAAATCAGGAGGGGGGTGGGGGGGGGGGGGGGAGGGATGGGAAGGGGCCACAATAAGCAATCAAAATTTACATAAGAATATATAGGAAAAAGTCTTTAATTTTTCTTCTTAAGGAAAGCAAAGCCATTGTATTAAAGTCATATTTATATGGAAGCATCCTCCGGTAGTGTAGATACCATGATTCAAGATTGTTCAAATCATGACAAAGGGGGGGGGGGGGGGGGGCTAGGGAAGCACAATATATCATCTAAATTTTACATGGGAATATATATGGAAAAAATCTGCTGCTAAAGAAAAGAAGGGTCAGTAGCTTTGTCACCCATGGGCCTTTAGTTCTACATTTGAGATGAAGTTAGATGTTGTTTTTGTTTTTATAGCCTGTGGCGGAAGAACCGTTTACGTTTGAGATGGAGTTAGACGATTTACCTAAGGAACGTTTGAAAGAATTAATTTTCCAAGAAACAGTTGACCTTAAGAAGAAAATGGGAATAGTAGATTTACAATAAGGTAGGGAAATAGTTTATAATACTTTTGACATTTAATTTTTTCTTTTACACATAGGAAAATATATTTTTGTGTGTGGAAGTCTTTGTTGACTTGTTCTGCCAAACTTTTTTTTTTAATCTTTTGTGTAGCTTTTACGAATATTGGCCAGGTTGCAATCATAGTTTTTACATAAAAATATTTTCTTCAGTTAACCAACAAGAAGGATGATAAAATGTTTATGTTTTCTTTTGAAAAAAGAGAGATTTTTATTTTTTTGCGAGCTCCAGATGGTTTTTAAGCTATATTAATGGTCTAGAAAAATAACATTGCAGTTGAATTGAAAAATAGTAAAATTCTTGTAGACATGCTTTAGAATATCTGTATTTTCTTTCTTCCAGGTAGAAGTAAACATTGCATATCTTGAGCTTATTCCATTACTGTGGCATGACGGACTAGAATTTTACTTTTCGCATCTTTGTGTCACAAGCTTAATGGATTTAAACATTCCATACAAACGGCACAAGTCTGTTGTCTCTCTCCAATGCCTGATAATGGACCTGTCCACAGGATTTCTGAATCTGATATCAACTGATTTCAATTGATATCTATTGATATTTACTGATATCTACAGGATTTCTGGATCTGATGTCATGGCATTTAATGTTCTTTTTTTCCCCCTTTATTCATTGCATAATTACTGTTATTGCTTACAAGTCAATGTTGTTAAAATGTAATCTTCCAATTTTCATTTCTTTTGTGAAAAAAAATTTGACATTGAATATGATGGATTATATGATTGCAAATACTTACATACATTTTTGTCTCATATTTTTGAAAAGATTATGTTATTTAATGATTTTTTAAATATAAAGTTTGATGTTCAGATGTAAGAATTATATAGGAATTCCTACTCAAATAATTTTAGTTATAAATACTAGTAAAGCAAGCTGAGAAAAGTTTATCAAGATATTAATCAGAAATTGAAACGTTTCCTTATAAAATCACTTAAGTCACAACATATCTACATGTACATAATGGCAATACTTCAGTGAAATATTTATTCCTGTAACAATTTATTTTGCAATAATTTTTCAAGGATGATCCAGTGATTTTGATATCTCTCTAATTGATGAAGAAAAGTATTCTTTGAACTCATTTTATGAAATTTAACAAAAAAAAAAAAAAAAAAAAAAAAGACATATCTCTATATTTAAGGAAGGTGGAAAGATAATTTTGCTAGGTCTCAAAAATGTATGAAAGTGAATATTCAGTTCACTACAATTTTTAATGTCCCCATGGGGGAATGATTAATGAGGGGGGTTTACCCCCCTGTTTACTCACATGAAATTTTGCTGATGATTTTCAAAAGAAATTAAAATCATCATGATCATAATTAAACTTGAAACAATTCAAGCATATTTTGCAAGGCAATTCATTTTATTTTTTTATAGAGAAAATTGCCTTTTAACTTAGTCATTAATTCAAGTAAGAGTTATTTCTCTTATCTCAGGGTCAATGGACCTTAAGAATGAAGGGAATGATATTGACATCATAGAAATTTTTTAAATCAATTCAATTGTACATCTGTTTTTGTTATTCATCTTTGAATAATTTCATTTATGTTTTCAATATTGTTGATTTTTTCTTCACACCAAACAGCAAATAGAAATGTGCAACTAATTTCCACATTTATTTCATGTACAGGTACATTATTACATGTATTTAATCATTCTGGATATAATTTGTAATTATTTTGATATGTTCTTCTCAGTCTATCATGTGGTAACAGGACAATGGATAAGTAGACCAGATGATTTATATCATATTGATTTTTTTAAAAAAATACTTAAAATAATACATTTAAAGTACTGTTCATGATCATTTAAGGAGATGGTGAGCACTTTTTGTCTCCTCCATCAAATGAATTTCAATTCCCCCTTGCTTTACATGTTTATTGTCAAAGATTTATTAAGTGGAATTATTGTAAGAAAAATTTTGTCCATCACTTGATGCATGGATAGTTGTTCTCCTTTCATTTCTGCCAAATATATATTGGGGGGTTTTCTATAACAAATTATTTATCAGGCATTTGAGGAATTCAAGAGTAAAATTTACCATAAAGAGATATATACAGTATATTATTTTGATCTGTTATTCATAAACATACATCACGTCCCATAGTTGGGATGTTGTTCAAACTGTTGAGGTTACATGGCAGAGAGGCATTTTTATTTTGAAATGGCAATCCCTAACACTAAGTCATAAAATTCATAGAAAAAAATCATTGTTTAAAGGCAATCAGTATCCTTTTCATAAATAAGATATATTTTCCAATTATTCACAAAAAATAAATAGTGATTATTGATTAACATTGAAATCAGGACTTAAAAATCTTTTGATTTTTTTGAAAATTTTATTTGCTGATATTTTTTCATCTTATATTTTTTGGCCTGTCTTTATACATACAACATTTGAAATATTGTAAATGATACTGTAAAATTGATATCAATTCTGGTCTCCCTTTGAAAATTGACTGGTACCCAGACTTTTGTGGTCCCCATATTGACTGATACCCAGGATCTTGTGGTCCTCTTAGCATATTGACTGGTACCCCGCTCCCTATGTTTTGTATGTTTATATAGGCCTGATAACTTAGCTGAAAATAGATATGCCTGTATAATAGTTATATTCTCATTCACTTCAGGCAGGGAATCTTTATCCCTGGCTTCAGAAGTTGGTTGTACTTTATATATCATTTATATATTAAGTTAGATAAAGAAATAATTTCTACGTACACAAGTGTTAGCTGTTTACTTTTTTTAAAAAAGGAATGATGTTGTCTTTGTAAACTTTATTGTTTATGTATGTCATTTGGAATTTTTTTAGTAAACGTTGTTGGTATGAATAGTCCCTATGTCAGTCAACTCTGAAGGATGTCATACATTTAATTTTATTAACAGCAAGTGTTGTATCTTTGTAACCAAAATTTAAATCAGAATGTGCTTTTTCTGTTCAGAAAAAGACTTGTCTTTTATAATTCGTGAAATTTAAATTTTCATATACTTCGCACAAAAAATCTGCTTGCTTTCTTCACATATTCAACCAAATTCCATTAAGATTTCTCTAGATATATGTATATTTAATCATGTATATATAAGGCAATATAAGTGAAACAATTCATTAATACTTCCAAAACATTGACCTACTTTTTGGTGTTTTAGTAAACAATTACAAATCAGAAGTGGGTTAGAATTACACACACAAAAAAAAATTGATTGGGCAAGTATTCATATTGAACGTTTTCAATCGTGCCAGTTATTTGGGTTGAAACTTGAAACTTTGAAGTTGACTTTCCTATTTTGGTAGACAATATTCAAGAAAATTGACAATATGTCTCTAAAAATCTGTAATCATGTTTTTGGGTTGTACATATGCTTACTAGTGCTAACAAATCAAATAGACCATCTTTGTAAGCAATCGAAAAATAACAAAGTATTTGCTATGAAAGCCTGTTTTCTATTGGTGCATTTTCTGATTGTTATATTTACAATATCAGACTGGAATTATGTGCTGGTCACAGTTTTTGTCTACTAATAAAAAAAGCAGAACTGAAAGAAAATGGTTCTTGTCAATTAAATAAAATAGTTAAAGAAGCCAGATGGGGTGGAGATTTGTAAATGTATCTAATCAAATGGAACACTGAATTTCATCTGCCCTGCCTCCATTGTATGTTAGATGAAAAAATTATCACACTATCCTGTAAAATTTGATAACTTAAAGGAGATCTTTCAGTCAAACTGTTTGAATGAAGATAATGAGGGGCTGTACAAACTAAAGGTACGTACTGGGAGTGAGCTCACAAAATAATTTCCCTGCTTCAATTTGTATAAAGTGCGCATTCAAATTTTGTTAATGTGACCTTGTACTTGCCAAACAGATCTTGATTGAGAAAAATGACACATCCATGCATTGGTCATAGGTAATCTTTTAGTGAAATGCAGTAAAGCATGCTTATAACGAAGTGCCAGAAATGGACGATTTTGCTTCGTTGCAAGTGGAATTCATTATATTCGTTAAGCTTAAGTCACGTGGCATGAATCTCACTCAGCTGAAAGCGCCCATTCATTATAAGCGTGTTTGCTGTAAGCGTGGTTTACTGTATGGACATCCAATGTTTCTCCATTAGAAAATGATAGAACTCCCAAGAATTAAGCACTTTTTATACTAGTGACCTTGAACTTACAATAATGAGATTAAGTCAAAGTAAGTAAATAAGTAAGTAAGTAAATTTTATTTAAAGTCGGCATTTTTTACAAAGTTTAACAATGAACATGAGCTCTGTAGGGCTCTTAAACCGACTATCACAGCTAAAAATATCACAGAGAAAACATTTACAACATAAATTAACATGCAAAAAACACATGTACATATATACACACGCATGACAGATAAAACAAATTTAAGAATTAGAAAAAAAAAGAACAGAAAACTGAAGAGCAAAATGATTGCATTAAGAACAAAAATAAAAAAAAAATAAGCATCATCATAATAACGAATTAGATAAAGCACTATATTAAACACATGGGATCAGATTAAAAAGCACTAATTGTATTAATAATAGAAAAATAAAATTGATAGCTTAGAAACTTAAAAATTCAAGCAAATACAGCTTAACCAAAAATTAAAAAAAAAAAAAAAAAAAAAAAATTAAAGTTCCTCACCAACACACATCCTGTCTAGTGATTGGGTCAGTCCCTACCTACATAGACAGGATATGTATTGTTGTGAGGTTAGGAAAAAGCAGATATCAAAAACAAAAATAAAAGAAACTAGGATCCTGGAGAGCTTACACCTTTGCCATCATAGGATGTTACTCCAAAAGTTTCAGCCCCCAGGGTCCTTATTATTGAAAATTTAAGTAAATAACAAAGTTTAATATATAGATATAAAAGAAACTTAGAAAAACACAATAAAATAAATTGAGGTGGTATCAGTAAAGCAAATGAAAGACTTCAAAAATAAATGAAAAACTGCAAAAATAGAAGACTGTGACTCTAAAATAAATAAATAAATATTGTCTCATCAGCTATGCCGCCCCCACGCTGTGGTTTCTGCAGGAACTACACTTGCATTTCCCCCCCCCCCCTTCCATGTGTCAATGAATGTTCTAAACTGGTTGAGGGTGGAAAGTTCCCTAGCATGGTTTGGTAAAGAGTTCCACAACGTAGCAGCCGCATAGCTGAAAGACTGTTTTCCATACCTAGTAGTTCTTAGCCTAGGTAGTTCCAGAGTCTTTTGATACCTAAAATTGTATGTGGAATTTCTCTGTTGAACTAAATCTTGCAGGAACAATGGGCTTTGCTTATTTACAATTTTGAAGACTTCGAGGGCCATGGCTCTCATACGCCTGATTTTCAGTGAAGGGAGGTTTGATTTTAGTAGTAGCTGGTCATAACTGCTTGTATAGTCATTATATATAAATCTTAGTGCTCGCTCTTGAATTTTTTCTATTTTTTTACAATTCTGTTCACTACTCAAATGCCACACCAGAGGGCAATAACTAAAGTTGGACATTATAAAGGAATGATAGATGGTAAGTTTACCCAGTTTACAGAGATGTTTCCCGACACGTTTTAACACATTTAACTGTCGAGCTGCTTTCTTACAAATATTTGAAATATGAGAATTGAAGTTTAAGTTAAAATCAAAAGTAACACCAAGCAGTTTCACTTCTTCCTCACAGGCAAGAGTTGTACCATTTAAGTTTAAAGTAATGTTTTTGTCATGCATCTT